GACTCGCTAAATGAATAAGATTAATCTCCCTGTAAAACACACAGCGGGCCAACCCATCCCTCCCGGGCCTTGGGCCGGCCGGCGCGTTTGACCCTCCGCTGGGCCCGGCCCGGTGGTCCGCCTGCGAACGCCCGCCGCACCCCGCCTCGGCACAGCGGCTCATCTGAACACCATAAATCACAAGTCGATGGCCGTGTCGCGTCGTCTTTTCCAGGTGGAGAGCGGAGCCCGCTGGAGAATGCTGCCGGACCCGCTGGCGGCCGCGACGCGACGGCGCCGCCGAAGGTCGCCGCGGAGGGGCTCGTCTCATCAAGGGCCGCGGGGGCCGCGGGGACGCCCGCGCGCCGACAAAAGCCTAAAGCCGCGGCCGGCTATTTAAACTGGAGAAATGCCAACTAATTCGTCGAGTTATGAGGCGAGCGGGACGTCCGAGCTCCGCGGGGTGGCGGGGCGGGGCGTGGTGGTGGGCCACCCAGGAGGAGGCCGTCATCGCCAACAAGAAAAGCCCGTCAGCGTCGGTCGGAGCTCCGCCCGCAACGCCACCCAGCAGCGCGGACATGGAAAGTGTTTTTCATGTTCAGCTTCTCGGCCGTTTTCGCGTATCATTTTGACGCCACGTTTTCATATTTCTTTTTTGGGAGAAAGGGAGAAGGGCGCCGTCAGCCAGGGTGAAAAGAGCGACGGCAGCAGCAGGCATCCCATATACATGTGACATTGCCGTATTGCTCCGGGCTCCCTCCCCCGCCCCTCAATGCAAACGCCGGGGCAGATCAGAGGGCGGCGGGCTGCAGCGCCACGGGACGGGCTTAACAGTGACGCGGCGTCAGGCAGGGGCGGCAGGGGCGCGCAGGGGCGTGCAGGGCGTCAACCCCCCGCTGCTGCCCGCCGCGCAGCAGCACAGCGCCGCGCAGAGCGCCCGTCGCACACTTAATTGGCAATTTGCAGCGGCTGAAAACGTGTGGGGGTGGCAACTCGGCCATTAGCTTCATTCTGTGCAACGCGAGCATCGCCCGTCCCCGTCCCGATCCCCAGGCGCCGCAACGCCCCGACTCGGCACACCCCGCCTCGCCACGCCACGCCACGCCACGCCGCCACGCCACGCCACGCCACGCGCCAGCTGGGGCGCACTGCGCGCAGCCAGCAAGGCGAGCGCAAGGGTGGATGGGAGAGGGAGGCCTCGCAGACACCAGTCACCACCCCCATTAGGGTGATCGCGGTGACCGCGCGGTGAGGTTGCCGCGCTCATGGTGGTGATGATGATGATTTCATTTCACATGCCGATACCCTCATTAGACGGACCACTCGCTCGATCGGGGTCGTCGTGGTGATTTCATTTCACATGCCGATAGCACTGTTGATGATGACCGGCCACGATGGTTGAAAAGACCGCGCGCGAGGAGCTCGGCGGGGCGATCACGTAACGATATCAAACGTCGCCCGCCCGCCAGGGCCAGGAGGAGGGGGAGAAATCTTTCCCTCTTTTTTTTGTTGCTGTTGTGCCCTGCTTCCATTCTTCGAACTCCGGTCCCGATCGGAGGCGAGGCAGCAAGCCCGTACTACTATTGAGTTCCGGCCAGATCCGATAATCCCCTTGGCAAAGCAGCCAGCAGCAGAGCAGCAGCGTGGCTTTGCGGGGCACACATCAGACATGAGCGCACGACGGGCTGGGCCGGCACGACGAATCGATCACTGCCTTTTCCTTTACTACGTGGATTGCACGTCGAGCCACTTCAGGCTATCTATCGGTTTTAGCGGTTCCGGCCCCTAGCAGCCCCGCCACACCCCGCCACGCCACGCCACCAGAGGGGGAAAGGGGGATTAACGCCCCGCCTTGTGCCGCCCTGTGGGCGTGGAGATCTGGATCAGCCTTTCAATTAGGAAAGAGAACAGAGAGCGAGAGAGAAAACGACATCGCAGCGCCACCAGGCCACGGGGCCGCCTCGCGTCGACCCGCCCAATATTTACTCGGCGGCCGCCTAATAACAACGAGTCCTCCACCTGGACATCATCATCACCTCCACATCAGCAGGGCGGGGCGCGGTGGGGCGGGGCGGGGCGGCTGAGGCGTTGGGCCCGCATTAGCGCCCAATGACGGGCGTCGCTCGGCAAGGCGTCGACTTAGGCCTTACGGGAGTGACGCCCCCCCCCCTAACCCCCCGCCCCCTTAGTGCCCTCCGGCAATCCTCTTCTTGTACCGGGTGTAACTGAGAATGCGCAACAGTGTTGCGGGTTTGCCTACCCAGTTAGCCCGTAAGGCGCCATGGCCCCTGCAGGCCTGGCGGGTATGCAATCCCGCAACACTGTTGCGCATTCTCAGTTACACCCGGTACACCATCTGGGGACACACCGGCTGGCGGGGCGGGGCGGGCTGCCTCCGAGGCGGCCGCGCCTTCCTCGGCAGGTCGGGGGCGTAAGCTGCACCTCCGCTCCGCGCCCGCCGCCGCGCCTCGCACGCGGCCGCACTCACCGGCCGGGGCAGTCAGTCACTGTCATCCCGACGCCCACGTCCAGGGCGGCCGTCACGAGGCGTCGACGTGCACCTCGCGCCCGGCCCGGCAGGGGCCGTCGTGCACCTGAGCGAGGCAGGGCGCGGCAGGCGCCCCGGCGGCAGCGGAGACCCGCGACCGCGCCGCAGAGTCGTGACGATAAAATATTCATCAGACGAAACGCGGGCAGCTGCAGGAGGAGGAGACTCTCCGCCTCGCGCAGGAACGGCACGGGGAGAGCGAGAGGAGCGTCCAGAAATCTGTTACGTACACCGTCTCTCCTAAATAATAGCCAAACATAGATAACGGCGGGATATAAAACTGCCAAAACGGGGCCCGCGGGCATAAACAACGCGGGAATTTGTGCAGCTTTCACGACCGAGGAAACGTGTGCGGCGGCGGCGACTCTTCGGGGCGGCCGCTGCTGTTGTTTGTGAAACGGGATGTCGCTGCCGCCGTATTTCATCTATTTATTTATTCCCGCGGCGCGGCCCGTCGTCCATCAGCGCGGCTCAGGGGCCGGAGGCCGCGGTGCAGCAGCGGCAGCGGTCCGCGAGGAGCCCGGAGCAGCACGGCGCCGCGCCGGACCTGCCGAAGCCCCTCGGAGTCAATAGGACCGGGGCTGATTGAAAACCGTCCCGCCGCGCGGAGCGGCCGCACGGTCCCCACACGCGTGCGCAGGGGGTCCTGTCGCGGGGTCGCCGGGGTAGGGAGGCACGGCCCGCCGCGGCGCAGCCCAGCGCAGCACCGCCAGTGTGGGACGAAACCAATAACCCGCTCCGTGCCCCACTCACACACATACGCACACACAAACACACACACACAGTGTACCGCCCGCTGTTCGGCCGTGCCCCGGACCCGGGCTCGCCATGCCGGCCTCTGCTCAAAGTCGTTACACGGAAAACAACAACAAAAAATATGTAAAAGAATAAAATAAGAAGAGGGTTCAGCGCAGGCTATATATGCCGCGGGTCCGTGAGGTCCGGCCGGTCCGGCGGTATGGGTTTTCAATTTCAGAAAACACAAGAAAACACAAATCATCCATCATTTCGTCCATGGCCCGACGGCGGGCGGGCACCCCTCCCCTCCCGCATGTGTGGCGCGCGTCCTCGGCGCGGTAATGACCCACCAGGAACACGTTACCTGGCCGTGCCTGCTGGCGGGGCCTCCCTGGGGCCTCCCCCTCGCCGCCATGACCTCGGCCATGACTCGCAGCAGCGGCAGAAACGTGCGGAACCGTGCACTTTACATGTTTCTCTACGGCCGATTATACCGCTTCAAAACGCAAAATTGCTTCATCTGCAAAAGACGAGAAACTCACCATCGTAGTTGGCGTCTGCAGGCGGCACCGCACCCTGCACGGCCTGGCTCAGCACCGCGGCCGCCAGCGCCAGGATGACGACGGCCTTGGCCATGGCGCCGACGTCACTCCATTATAGCGGACCTGCAACACACGACAAACACATCATGAGCACCATCAAACTCCATAACGCCACGGTATTAACGCCTCATGCGACCCACGATCTCACCCCCCCCCCCCTCTCTCTCTCTCTCTCTCTCTCCCTCTCTCTCTCTCTCTCTCTGTGACGCACGCACGCACGCATGTACCGCGCGGGCGTTGACGCCCGAAAAAGACAAGGACCCGAGAAAGGGACTTCCCTGTCCTGAGGGCCGGAAGCAAGACGACAGCCAGCCTCTCTTCTCTGTGAGGCGCGGCCCGGCCCAGCCCAAGGAGGTTGCGGAAGCAGTGCGGAGCGCACTCACGCACACACACACACTCACACACACCTACACATGCGCGCACACACGTACGCACGCACGCACACTTAGGGAGCCTGGCTGCCGTGAGAGGGCGTTGATGACGCGGCCCACAAAAGGCTTGACATGACAAAGCGGTGCGAGGCGGTGGCCAGAAAACAAGAGCAGCTTCTAGGAGGAGGCAGCGGTGGTGGCAGCAGTAGCAGAAGGAGCGGCAGCACCAGAGGGAGCGGCAGCAGCGGCCACAGCAGCAGCAGTGGTAGTAGCAACGGCAGCAGCGCCAACAGCTGGGCGCACACGAGCGGACAATGACAAAACATGAAAATTAACCCAACTGAAAGGCACGAGAGAAAAGAAAGGGGAAAAGACAAAGTGAGTGGCCCCGAGGAACTTCCGTTAGCGCCACCTACGTCGTGTTCTACACCTTGTTCCCCGGGTGATTCCCTCCCATTTACGTCTCAGTCGAGTCGAGTCGACCAGTTTTTAGAGCGATAGTCAGTCGGTTCGGTTGGGGTCAGCGATCGGGACAGCTGGGGTCCCGGAGTGCGCCGTGTCCAGCAGCAGGACGCCGCCGTCAGCTCGACGAGCAGCAGTAGCAGCAGGAGGATGACCTCCGCTGCGGCGGCCTCCCCCGCGGTGGCGCCACCCGGCGCCACGCCACATGGTCTCGGCGTGCGCCGGCCACTCGAAACCACCCTCGATCCTCTCGACTCGAGCTGGCTACAGGGAGGAGGAGGACGGGGAGCGGAGGGGAGCGAACTTCATCAAACGGCAATACCCTGATGAAATCCTCCCCGCCCCGCCAGCGGAGGCAACGCGGCGGCGCGCCGCCGAGCCGACTCTGACTCCGGTCGGGCGCGAAATAAGAATAGCCGACGTGATTATAATAAGCTGTCTCGCATTGTGCGGAGCGCCGCGTGACGAGTGTGTGACGGCGGCGCGACGTGAGAGCAGCACCCCCCGGGAGGGAGGAGGAGGTGGCAACCCCACTCATTGTGCAAGCGGCAGCCTCGGTGGCAGCCGAAGCCGTGTCGCCGTGTTGTCCGCGAGCAGCGCAGAACAGCAGCACCAGTTTGCACCTTCCTCCGCGGGGCTGCACGACCGCAGCATGCAACACCGAAGTAACAACCCCACCGCATCGCAAAAGCGTGCAGCGGCAGCGGGTCAGGACGGCTACATCACCCGCCCCGCCGCCCCCTTCCCCGCCGCGCCGAGTTGCCCTGGATGTAATCGGCGTGGGTGAGCCGGGGGCGGATCGAGAGGGGGGGGGCAGGGGGAAGACGCCACTGCAAACGAGTCCAGCCAAACGAACTGCTCGCCTGAGGCCAAGGTAAATACAACGTCAGTCAGCGACGGCGGTGGCGGCGGCCTTGGTGTGAGGAGGGGCACGCCACCGAAACCGCCACCCAACTCCAGCACCAGCGCCTTCGGCAAGCTTTAGTCACCTCGCCCCACCCTGGCGCGCCCCGCCACACCCCCTCGGGCTCGCCGCAAGACACTGTGTACTTTGTACTTGCCGCGGGGGGCTGGTCCGGGCGAGACACTTCTCACCGCGAAGACACAATCAGATAACGCGGGCTGTCGCCCCCCTCCCCTCCACCCTCCTCCCCCTCCGTCTCTCCCTCGCTCCCTTTGCAGCCCGCACCGCCGCCCCTCGCGGCACAGGGCGGCGCGGGGCGAGCGCTTTGCATATCGGTTAGATGACGTCCTTTATCTTGAGGTCGGATCGCGCACCAAAAGCGAACCCGCTCAGCCCCGCCCCGCCTGCACCGTGCACCCCTGAGCCTTTGAGCCCCGACGGGACCCCCTCCTCCCTCCTCAGGTCCCTCCTCGAGGTCGCGGCCGTCGTGGGACCGCGGCCAGCCGGTGTCCGCCCCGCGGGGGTCGGGGCCAGGGCCGCGGATCCACGCAGCAGCCCGCCGGGGGAAAAAAGAAAGAGGCGAATAGATGAAGTCGGGGAGGAGAGGAGACCGGATCCGATCGGTGAGTGCGCCCTTCGCTCCCCGTGGCCTCGATACGGACCCTCCCTCCCCCAGCAATTGAATCATCATCACCAGGACGACGCCCGGCTGTCCCACAGTAGCAGGGAGCGGGGGACGTAGGCGGGGAGGAAAAAAGAGAAGGGGAGAGAGAGAGAGAAGGGGTTGGCGTGGACCGGACCGGCTGTACCGGTTCTTACCCCACCCGCTGACTCGGGGGCGGCGCGGCGCGCGGCCGTTGCGCACCGAGTGTACTACATGAAGGGGAGCGAGCCGAGAACGAAGCAGCGGAGGAGGGAGGGGCAAAGGGGGTGACGTCGGATCAACGACACAACACCGTCCGTCACTCCATCAAGGACAACAAAACTATGACGAGGAGGAGCAAGCGGGGTGGGTGAGCATCAGGCTACTTTACAAAAGTAGACGCGAAAACCCCTGTGAAAAGGGGGAGATAAAAAAATAAAAATAATAATAAAAGAGGATTTCTAGATTACAACGCTCAGTTGGCGGTGCGCGCGTGCACCGTGCACCCTCCCCTTACACCAGGGGGGTGGCGCAAAGTACCTTTGTGGTGCTGGTGCTACCCTCGGGCGGCGCCTTCGCTGCACGGCCGGGACACGTCACACCGGAAGTTGCACCGGTCGGCACTGCGGCGGCAAGGGGTTGCAACAGCCATTAGCGGCGCGGACTGGTTTTGCACCCCGACACGCCCCGCTGCCACTACATGTAGTGCGTCTCGCCCATTCATTACGAACAGTCGCGTACAAAAGCGCTCGCCACCCGCGGCGGCACAACAGAACGGGTGTCCTGCTAGCGCCGCCCAGCCGCGCCCGGCCGCGCCCGCGGCCCGCGCACTGTGAGTTACGACCGCCAAGAATACTACAACTTGTGGTGGAAGCTGTCGGGTCGGGGGATGCGGCCGGCCCCGCAAGAACAAGCACACTCTCGATAAAAGTCGGTAATGCCTTTCATAAATTAGAGCAGCGCGCCGCTCTCTCTCTCTCTCTCTTCAGTCAATCGTCACCACGCGCCTCGTCCGGGGACACTCCACTCGCTGCTGGGGGCGCGGCGGCGGCGCGGCGCTACCGTGAGAACCTTTCACCCCTCGCCGCGCTCGCGCCGCCCTGGGGACGCCCCGCCCCCACTCGTGTGTCCACTGTGCGTCATTGAGCGACTCGTTCTGAACATAACGACTCACAGCCAGCAGCACAAGGCTGCGGCGCATCACGCGAATCCGTGGCGCGGCGTAGTGGCCCCAGCGGGCCCCGCCCCGCCAGCCATGGGAACCCATCGCGACCAGGACGACACTGATTACGGGGCTTCTGCAATGAGATCCGCGCGCCGGCCGCAAAAGCGTAACGGGGATTAAAATTAACTACGAAAACACCACGACCCTGGTTGGTGCCGGTCGATGACACGCGGCTCACCGCAGCGCGACCCGCCGGCTGCATCTGCAGACCACAGCGACACCGCCGCGCCGCGGGGACAAGTTCAGGTCGGGTCGAGGACCTCCTGGACCTGGCCGCAGGCGAGCCGCAGGGCACCGCAGGGCACCGCAGGGCCTCCAGTGACCAACAAGAAGAGGAGGAAGATGTCCGCTGCGCCGCCGGCCCGCGCGGCACGCCAGACCGGCGGCGGCCTTCTCCGCCCATCAGCGCCGCCGCCAATGAGGACGGAAACGAATGAGAGGGGAAAAAAGCGACACAAAAATGTGGCCATAAGCCGCGTAATTGGAAGGGTCAAAGTTCTTCTTCGCCAGAAGACGAAACAAAAAAGAGGAAAAGGGAGGGAGGGACTGTCGGAAAACCCCCCGCGGGCATACACTATTTAACTCCTCACTGCGCTCGGCCAATCAGCACGATGATGGATGGCGTGCGACGTGAGACTGATTACGCTTATTAGTTCAATGCCCCCCGCCCAACCTAGACTGGACGAGGGGCCACCCTATCGACAGGCGCATCGCGTCTTATTATAATTATTATCATTATGATGATTGTTATTATCGTCATTAGTCCTCCTCGGAATTATTTCGCATGCAACGTCGTTATCTCCGCGGCCGTCCGGGCGGCGGCGCCATCCGGCCTATCGCCCTGCACGCGCCGCACGCACTCGCACGTGCAGGAGGGGCTGCCCACCTTCAGGCGTGCGCGAGCTTGCAGCCGGACACAGGGGTTGCCTACCTACACGCTGCACGTTTACAAGCGCTTGCCTAACTGAGGGCGAACAAAGGAGTTCCCTACTTGCAGGTGTACACGAGCTTGCCTACCTGCAGGTGTACGAGAGGTTGCCTACCTGCAGGCGTACAAAGGGGTTGTTAACCTGGAGGCGTATAAACGAGCTTGCCTAACTGAGTGAAAACAAACGAGTTGCCTACTTGCATGAGGCGTACAAGAGGTTGCCTACTTGCATGAGGCGTACAAGAGGTTGCCTACTTGCAGACGTACAAGAGGTTGCCAACCTGCAGGCGTACAAAGGGGTTGTCAACCTGGAGGCGTACAAGAGCTTGCCCAACTGAGGGCGAACAAAGGGGTTTGCCTACTTGCAGTCGTACAGCAGGGCTGCCTACATCCAGGCGCAGAAAAAGCGAACCAAGTTAACTTTATAGCGTTTGGGTAAATACATCCAAGAGCGCAGTTGATTCTACGAAGTACAACCGAACAAGTAAAGCCGCGTGTACTGTACACTATACGATCGGGCCCGAGCTTCA